AACACACTCAGAACTCCGCGAGTGTCAGCTGCCACACCCTCACTCCTCCAACATCCAGTCTCTCCCTCACTCCTCCAACATCTTACTCGCCAACATTGCTCCTCCCACCATACTGTTATTGTTTGTATTACACTATTTACACATGTTATGTATACCTATCTACATGTTTTATTCACCAGAACTATGCAAGTAAGCCGGTATTGTGTCCAAACTTTACAGTGGCCACCATACACTGCATGAGAAATCACACAGCAGCCAGCAGACGACGCTACGATTACGTCACCTCCCTCACCAAAATAGCTCCTCCCAACATACTCCTGTTGCTGTTACTACACTATATACACACATTGTATATACCCATGTACATATGTGTTCACCATAGCGAACCACTAAGCTAGTATGATGAGCAAAACAAGAGTGGCTGCCACACAGTGAGGCTACCTCGATTCTCTCCCTCGCTCCCTCACCACAATTACTCCTCCCACAATACTACGCACATATGTACATGGGTATATACACACATTGTAAATACCCATGTACATATGTGTTCACCATAGTTAACCACTAAGCTAGTATGATGAGCAAAACAAGAGTGGCTGCCACACAGTGAGGCTACCTCGATTCTCTCCCTCGCTCCCTCACCACAATTACTACTCCCACAATACTATGCACAGTGCTTATTATCACCACAATCCTGCTGTTATCACAATACAGGTCGCTCAATCTTGTAAATACATAATTGACCACAAGTTTATTTTGTAAAGGAACCTAAGGAGTCGTTTGAAGATTTCTAGATGGACGAAATAATGCTGTGGTGCTGTGGCTAGCGCTGTGAACATCGTGAACAGCATTGAATCACTAATATTTGAACATTGTACACAGTCATTATCACACTCAGGCTCTTCTGTAATACTATCATGGCTAAATAATACAAGTTATATATATATTTTGACATTATTAGGCGATGCTGTGGTCACAAGCTGAACAGCAGTGCTGTGAGCTCATGCTGCGTGCGCCAGCCTTGGTTGCTCACTCACTACTGAGGCTCTCACACCCGGGAATGTGGACCACGATTTTTTTTTAAAGATGGCGTCTATTTACAAGAGCCCTGAGGAAGCTGATGTGAACCCCATGTAGCCGCGGGAGTTTTGAATGGAACGTGAAAAATACAAATACCCGGAGGCGCGTAGCGCACCCCAGACGTGGGCCTGCAGGCGCATTGCGCAGTTAAAGGGTTAAGACCTAACCTACCTAACCTAACCTAACCTAACTTTTTCGGCTACCTAACCAAACCTAACCTATAAAGATAGGTTAGGTTAGGTTAGGTAGGGTTGGTTAGGTTCGGTCATATATCTACGTTAATTTTAACTCCAATAAAAAAAATTGACCTCATACATAATAAAATGGGGAGCTTTATCATTTCATAAGAAAAAAATTTGAGAAAATATATTAATTCAGGAAAACTTGGCTTATTAGGCAAATCGGGCCTTGCATAGTAGGCTGAGAAGTGCGTTCTGGCTACTAGGTACGACATATATATATATATATATATATATATATATATATATATATATATATATATATATATATATATATATATATATATATAATATATATATATATATATATATTGTACCTTCTCACAAGGTGCCTGGCTTTGCCCAGACTGACCTATTTCCTAAGGTGTGCTCCTTCCTTCGACAGCCCAAAATTAACAGAATATGACACACTCCTAAGGTCAATAACCGTGAAAGTGTTAAACCTCTCCCTGCAAGATAACCAATGGGACCAAGCAACGCTCCCAGTTAGACTCGGGGGGGATAGGTATTCGCAAGGCGACACAGTTAGCATTGCCGGCATTCTTATCCTCGACCAGTGCAACAGGTGAATTAGTTAAGGAAATACTACCGGAATACCTAAGAAACTCCATTGGGATTCATGATCCCAAATTCGCGGAAGGAGCCGGTCAGTGGGACACTCTCGTCAACTCTCATCCTCGACCGACTTTTCCAAATGACTGCAAACAGTCCAAATGGGATAGACCTATAGTGGAAAACATCGCGACATCATTGCTGGAGGCAGCTTCCAGGAAGGACAAAGCGCGTCTTCTAGCTGTGCAAGCGCCCCATGCCGGGGACTTCCTGTTGGCAGTCCCTAATTCCGCCTTGGGCACCCGCCTGGACCATCGGACCCTAAGTATTGGTGTTGCCCTGAGCCTTGCCGCCCCTATCTACACCGAGCACCGGTGTATTTGCGGCCATGCTCGGGCAGACCAATACGGCAGCCATGGTCTCATCTGTCGTAAGACACAGGGAAAGATTGCCAGACATGAAGCAGTCAATGACATCATCAAGAGAAGTTTGGCTTCAGCTGGGTGCCCAGCACAAAGTGAACCTCAGTTGTGCAGGCCTGACAACAGCCAAAAACGCCCAGATGGAGTCACTCTGCAGCCGTGAAGGGAAGGTAAACAGGTCGTGTGGGACTACACGTGTGCATCTACATTGGCTGATACCTATCTACCTTGCAGCACAGCTGAGGGAGGCGGGGTGGCCACCTTCAGGGAGACCCCGAAAACTAACAAGTACAGGGACCTAGAACGTTGTTACAGGTTCGTGCTAATAGGCTCTGAGACTCTGGGCGCCTGGGGTAAATGCGCACTTAAGTTCCTGAAGGAACTGGGAGAGGAACTCATTGGGAAGACTAGAGACCCAAGAGCGGTCAGTTTCATGTTCCAGGGCCTCAGTGTCGCTGTTCAGAGGGGAAATGCGTGCTGTATCTTGGGTACGCACCCGACCCCCGAAGAGCTGGACGAGGTCCTCGAACACTAATTGTTATATTGTTATATAAGTGTGTGTTTTCTGTCAACTGTAGCATTGCAATAAAATCAAATAAAAAAACTAATAATAGGGGTGGTAGGAGAGGAAAAGATTAAAGTATTCAGTGAGATTCCACAAGGTCAAATCTGAACACTATTAATTTTCTTCTTCGAGGATGTGGGTCCCTTTAATTAAACCAGTGGTGGTACCCCTAAAAATATATATATATATATATATATATATATATATATATATATATATATATATATATATATATATATATATATATATATATATATATATATATATATATATATGAACCTATATATATATATATATATATTTAGCCTAATAAGCCAAGTTTTTCTGAATTAATATATTTTCTCTAATTTTGTTCTTATGAAATGATAAAGCTACCCATTTCATTATGTATAAGGTCAATTTTTTTTATTGGAGTTAAAATTAACGTAGATATATGACCGAACCTAACCAACCCTACCTAACCTAACCTAACCTATCTTTATAGGTTAGGTTGGGTTAGGTAGCCAAAAAAGCTAGGTTAGGTTAGGTTAGGTAGGTTAGGTAGTCGAAAAAACATTAATTCATGAAAACTTGGCTTATTAGGCAAATCGGGCCTTGCATAATAGGCTGAGAAGTACGTTCTGGCTACTAGGTACGACATATATATATATATATATATATATATATATATATATATATATATATATATATATATATATATATATATATATATATATATATATATATATATATATATATATATATATATATATATATATGTCGTACCTAGTAGCCAGAACTCACTTCTCAGCCTACTATTCAAGGCCCGATTTGCCTAACAAGCCAAGTTTTCCTGAATTAATATATTTACTATAATTTTTTTCTTATGAAATGATAAAGCAACCCTTTTCTCTATGTATGATGTCAATTTTTTTTATTGGAGTTAAAATTAACGTAGATATATGACCGAACCTAACCAACCCTACCTAACCTAACCTAACCTATATTTATAGGTAAGGTTAGGTTAGGTAGCCAAAAAAAGCTAGGTTAGGTTAGGTTAGGTAGGTTAGGTAGACGAAAAAACATTAATTCATGAAAACTTGGGTTATTAGGCAAATCGTGCCTTGAATAGTAGGCTGAGAAGTGCGTTCTGGCTATTAGGTACGACATATATATATATATATATGTCGTACCTAGTATCCAGAACGCACTTCTCAGCCTACTATTCAAGGCCCGATTTGCCTAATAAGTCAAGTTTTCATGAACTAATTGTTTTTCGAGTACCTAACCTACCTAACCTAACCTAACTTTTTTGGCTACCTAACCTAACCTAACCTATAAAGATAGGTTAGGTTAGGTTAGGTAGGGTTGGTTTGGTTCGGCCATATATCTACGTTAATTTTAACTCCAATAAAAAAAATTGACCTCATACATAATGAAATGGGTAGCTTTATCATTTCATAAGAAAAAAAAATGAGAAAATATATTAATTCAGGAAAACTTGGCTTATTAGGCAAATTTGGCCTTGCATAGTAGGCTGAGAAGTGCGTTCTGGCTACTAGGTACGACATATATATATATATATATATATATATATATATATATATATATATATATATATATATATATATGTCGTACCTAGTAGCCAGAACGCACTTCTCAGCCTACTTTGCAAGACCCGATTTGCCTAATAAGCCAAGTTTTCCTGAATTAATATATTTTCTCAATTTTTTTTCTTATGAAATGATAAAGCTACCCATTTTATTACGTATGAGGTAAAAAAAAAATTATTGGAGTTAAAATTAACGTAGATATATGACCGAACCTAACCAACCCTACCTAACCTAACCTAACCTATCTTTATAGGTTAGGTTAAGTTAGGTAGCCGAAAAAGTTAGGTTAGGTTAGGTTAGGTAGGTTAGGTAGTCGAAAAATAATTAATTCATGAAAACTTTTCTTATTAGGCAAATCGGGCCTTGCATAGTAGGCAGAGAAGTGCGTTCTGGCTACTAGGTACGACATATATATATATATATATATATATATATATATATATATATATATATATATATATATATATATATATATATATATATATATATATATATATATATATATATATATGATATCATTAAAGAAAATTATATAATGCTTTAATAATAGATTTCTAGAACGTCCAGTACTTGTAGCAGTGACAGAGGTGAATCCACTTAACAAATTAATTACTGAGGCAGTAGCTTCCTGCCATGGAGGTCACCTGGACGCATTCTCGGGTCCTGTTCCCAAACTCATGGACTTCCTCGCCAGTGCTCTAAATTTTTCGTAAGTTGACTGGATTTCTTATAACTTCCTCTAATTAAACCATATGGTATTCATAATATGTTCCAATATTAGTGGTATTTAACACTATATAATTGTTTGTTTAAAATCACATTTATTGCAATTTAAAATCGTTATTATACAATATATTTAAGATTAGATCATAGAACCTTGTTTTTGTAATACATATTGTCGGGTTAAAGTTCTGAAGCCTTTGTACTTGACAAATAATATTTCTTTACACATAAATGCATTCCTGGTCGCACTTATACAGTTTGTCTGCTTGGGTCACAGGTTCACGTATGCCCGCCCTCCAGACGGCTCCTGGGGCTTTAAGCACGAGGACGGGTCCTGGACGGGCATGGTGGGCATGGTGGAGAGGAGGGTGAGTTATTGTGGGCATGGTGGAGAGGAGGATAAATTATAGTGGGGATTGTGGAGAGGAATGCGAGTTATAGTTGGCATGGTGGAGAGGAGGTTGAGTTATTGTGGGCATGGTGGAGAGGAGGGTGAGTTACAGTGGGCATGGTGGAGAGGAGGTTGAGTTATTGTGGGCATGGTGGAGAGGAGGGTGAGTTACAGTGGGCATGGTGGAGAGGAGGGTGAGTTAAATGGGGCATGGTAGAGAGAAGAATGAGTTATAGTGGGTATTGTGGAGTAGAGGGTGAGTTATAATGGAAATGGTTGAGAGGAGGGTGAGTTATTGTGGGTATTGTGGAGAGGAGGGTGAATTATAGTGGGTATGGTGGAGAGGAGGATGAGTTCATTCGCTCCTTGTATTTATTCGGTTATTGATTGGATCTTACTTAGGTCTGAAGAGGTACACATTCGGACGTCTTGGGCTTTATATGGTTGTGGCAGAGAATATTTATCCAGTACATCAGGGTCCTGAGGTCCTACTGTAATCTAGGACTGTGTGTACTGGCGGCCTACATGCAAGCGGCTACCGTGCTGCTCTGAGGAATGACGTCATGGCTCACTGGCCACAGGATTTGCTATTCACCAACCGTCCTGGAATGTAAAGGCTAACACTGCTCATACACGCTACCAAGTCGACTTTCCTTGTCGACAATCTCTGGCTAGCTAGTTACAGTGATACTGATGGACCTTGGTGGCAAAAATAATGGCTTACATGCAAAGTTTCAGATTAAACATTAAAAAATGGATCAGGTGTGCATTAATTGGCATGTGCACAAAAACTGGAACATAATTTATTCAGTAAAAAATCATGGTAACAATGCATCAACTGTAGCAAGAGCATAAAGAACCTAAGCACATCAAGTGGTCTGTCAGCCACAGTAGGTGGAGTCCCAATAGAAGAATCTGTCTGGGTAAGGTCATTGTCATCTTCTGCATCAGACTCGTCAGCCCTAATTTTAGATAACTTCATGTGGTCTAGATGTAAGTTTATGAATTCCTGTGTTATCATCTCAGGCTGCAGGAGAAACGAGTCTGCCTCCTGAGAGTTATTCTGTCAGACCTGTCCTAAGAGGTCAAAGAGATATAAACCTGGAAATGTATATAGTAAACACTCGATTGAATTTGACGTGGTAGTTTAAAAGTATGGGCAGTAAGTAAGGATATAAATAAATGACTTGACATAAGATGTGGAGAATTTGCTGGAGATGTGAGGCTCGCTTCAGAATACGTTGACCTCACTTGAGCTGAAGAAATCGTGAGGGAAGGTCGCGCTCTGTTGACCCCCCTGGTGAAGAAGAACCCCTGTTTGATATACGTTCAAGAAGAAGGAAGAGGACGAACCTATCGACTGTGGACGTGTCAGCTCAAGTTGAGAACTTCAGAAAGAGTGTGGAGCAGTTTAAAGCAGTTCTGTGGGCAACCAAGGGCACCCTGAGTGTCGACCGCCCAGTCAGTGAGCGCCGCAAGCAGACCAAATTCTGTGGTTTGTCTGGGGAAAGGAGTTGCTGAGTGGACTTCGAGCCAGTAGAGTGAGTTAGTGGAAGAGACTCCAAGGCTGTTGAAAGAGTAGTGTACTCTGAGGCAGAGTAGCCCTCACTGTGAAGAGTAGGACCTCGAGCTGTGAGGAGAAGTAGTGAAGAGGAATGTGACGTGCTTCTGTGATAAGAGTGGTGAAGCATCATTGCTGTTCAGGGAAAACTTCATGCACTACCTATAATTTCTGCTGTTTTGTTTGAGATAAGAACTAGTTTGCAATACCTTGAAAAATTGTGAACCATTACAAGCAAGTGTTTGTTACCATTTTCATTTTCAGCAAAATTTGTCAAGAGATCCAGTGATACTCATTCCCAAGGGGCTTTAGCCGCTGGGTACACATGAATTGGGTTTGGTCCCATTAGTTGTTACTTGTGCTGTAAGCAGGTTAAACATATGTCAACATAATGAGCAATCTCTTTAGCCATTTTGGGCCAAAAATACTTCAATCGACCTTGCTGGAGTGTACTGTCCTTTCCTGGATGCACACTTGCGAAAGCATCTTGGATAATCTTTATCACAGTTGGTACCAAGAGAGCTGGAACGACTAACTGAAAACATTTCCTTGGGGGTGTATCTAGCATTACTACTCTACACAGTAAATTGTCTAACATCATTAGTTCTTTCAATGGTACTGGGGGTTTGTGAATACGAGTATCTTGCTTAGTCAAAAACGTAATGACAGGTGTCCATACTAGGCCTAGTCTTTGTTCTGTCTCTACTACTGTAGCAACTGTAGCATCTAATGCTGGGTAATTTAACTGGATTGCATCTACGTGTTGAGAAAACGCATCAGCTAAACATTTAGTTTTCCTGGGATATGCCCATATGCAGGATTGAATTTTTGAATTGTAAGTAAATATCTAGAAAATTCTCGGACAGGATTCTTATTCTTGAACAAAGAAATTAATAGTTGATGATCTGTATGAACAATTACTGGGTAATTGTACATTATATTCCAAAAATATTTAAGAGCCCATACAACTGCTAGAGCTTCACGCTCTGTTTCATTGTCATTTTTCTCTTCTTAAGATAATGTACAGCTGGCATAAGCTGTTGCGTGATCTTTGTGACCTTTGGTTTGAAGTAATGCATCACCTAAGCCTATGTAACTAACATTTGTGACCAACATAAAGGGTTTAGAAAAATCTGGGTACCTATGTACAGATGACGAGATCAATGCCTCTTTGAGCTTTCTGAAAGACTGTTCTTGGGCTTCTTCCCAAACAAAGGGTTCATCTTTTCTTTGCAACTTGTAAAGTGGATCAGCTATACTAGAGAATCCATCAATTAATGAATGATAAAATCGTACAAGACCTGTGAACTGTCACACGGCTTCTGCAGTACGAGGTGTTGGAAAATCACGGGCAGCAATAATTTTTATTCATCAAAGCTATTACCTGAAGGGGTTACTGTATGACTTAGGAAATTAATCTTCTCCTTTAAAAATTAGCACATTGAGAGTTTTATTTTGAAATTTGCTTCTGCGAGTTTTGCAAGTACTTTCTCAAGGTTTTGGAAGTAAGTCTGAACATCCTTCGATGTGGTTATGAGATCATCAAGATACATTAGAAGAGTACTACCTATCAATCTATGAAATAGGTTCGTCATGAGCCTTGAAAAGGCTATTGAGCTGATTCGCAAACCAAATGACATTCTCTTGAAATGAAAATGACCATTACGGGTACTAAAGGCTGTCATCTGTTTGCTTTCCTTATCGAATGGGATTTGTCAGAATCCCTGCAACAAATTTAATGTTGAAAATACTTTGTTTCGACCAATGCTTTGCAACAAATCATTTAACACTGGAAGTGAGAAATGGTCAGGTATGGTTACTCTGTTAAGCTTCCGGTAGTCGATTACCTGTCTTCATGTCCCATCTCGTTTTGGTACCTGAATCAATGGGGCGTTCCATGGTGAAATGCTCGATTCAATTACATCATTTTGTAACATTTTCTCTATACGTTTATCAGCTTCTGCTCTCTGAGAATGTGGTAAACGGTATGCTTGAACATACATTGGTGTTGTACCTTGTTCAAAGGAATTTTATGCGTGATGAGAGGAGTGAGACATAACGTTTCTCCAGGGAGAGCAATGACTGTTATGTTTTTATTTAACATTTCCAAAAGCTGAACCACGGAGTCAGGGAAATCTGTAGGACTGAGATGTTGCACTTGCCCCTCTGGCTGAGATACCCGTTCTCCTGGTGTGAGTTCACACACAGTATGATCTGCTGAGACATCGTCCACCACTCGCACCAGTACCGAGTAATGGGCAAATTCTATAACGTGGGTGCCAGACTGGATATGGATGTTGGCATTACTAGTGTTTGCAATATATAATGTTACAGTACCGTCCTGCACTATGTATCAGGAGGGCTCAACAAACATACCATTCACTTTACATTTTTCACTTTCTGCAATGACATCCGACAAGTCAGGAACTACTTGAATCTTAACTCTACTCTTGTGAGGGAATGAGAGTGCAGCACAGTGTCAGTAGCTGTGGAACCACTGACATCAGAGATGGAAGCTGCTACAGGAGCAAGACCACGAGAATCTGTTAGGGCGTCTCGCTCCAGAAAGTCTGGATACTCACTCTCCTGAACAACTGCACAACTATGATGCTTCAATTCAGTACCTGTTTTCTCGGGTATGCTACTCAGACAAGGATCAGACAAACCAACGCTAGCAAGCTGACTGTCGACAAAATTAATATAGTCTTTTTTCTTTTGAACTCATGACCCATCTTACACATACTGCAAAGTGGTGTGACGTGATCCTTGATACTAATGATCCAACGATGGGGAAAAATACAATACTTATATCAATCATGGTGTACAAACTTAAGAGAATGTCACCAGGAAAATGGATACTATCAACAACTAGGCATGTTATAAACAACGTGATGTCATTTAACTTGAGTGGGAGGTCGATTTCTCCCTTAACTGTTACTTTATTTCCTGAAACACCCTTCAGAAAAGGTACGTGTGATTTTCGTACTGTGACAGAGTGCTTACTAGAAATATCTGTAAGAGCTGAAGGCTTGACAATATTGATTTTTGCACCTGAGTCAATTAAGACTTTTAATATTCTACCATTTACTGGGGCTGAAATTAGCGAACCATCACACGAAACTGTACAATTCAGTGCTTGTGATTTATGTTGCCTAGGTTCTCTGCATCTCGTCTGGGTCAAATTCACTCGGGTTCCATCAACATCTATAACTGGTCTATTGTCAGTGTCCTCCTCTGTCAAGTGTTCAAATCTATTTTGGGTAACTACTGAGTACACAGGGAGGCCACTAGGGTTTGCTACCTTGAATTGGTTAAAGGGGGTCCTTGCAAGTTTCCCGACGACATGAAATGAACATTCTGATCTCCAAGGTTTCGTGATCTGGTATTGTATTTTGACTGATTAACAATGGGAATCT